ATATAAAGAATTATTAATATATACACATGCATACACACAGATATATTACACATGTGCACACATTCATGAATACACACAGACACACCACAAACATGCACACACATACATGCATACACACATTGCACATGTGCACGCATGCATGCACACACTGATTCACCACAAACATGCACACATATGCCCGAACACACAGATACACCACACATGTTCGTGCACATGCATGTACAGAGGCAAACCACACAGGTGCACACACAAACGCACACACACAGATACAGAGACTTGAGCGCACGCACATGCGTACACACAAATTTCAGGGAAAGAAAAGGATATAAGATAAAGGTTAAAATTGTTCCTTATCAGCCACTGAGCTCCCTACGCTGGGAGTCTTAGGTAAACAGTATCTTACAGGTAGCTGTCTTATTCTGGACACTGTCCAAGTAAGTGCCCCCATAGGCCCACATCCTTCTCTCGTTCATGACCCCACAGAATCTAGTGTGGCTGGCCCCACCCCTCAGGAGCAGCTCCGCCCTTTCAAACTTTCCCTGTAATAAACACCACCAGCCCAAATGTCTGCATGCACAAATCTTTACACACACTTGCGTATGTATGCCTGTGAGATAATCACTCACAGGAATTCCCATGCTGCAGAGATTATTGACTTTGAATACCGGTGTACAGTGTCAGATCGACAGCTCATAAGAACGCCTGCTTGCTCTCTCCTTTGCCAGTACTTGGTTTCATCAGACCCTTCCTCCTTTTTTCCTCTCTCCCCCGATTTCTGTGTGTGCACACGAGTCCGCCTTATTTTGTTTTGAGACAGGGTCTCCCTGTAGACCAGGCTGGCCTCAGACTCGTAGAGATCTGCCAGCCTCTGCCTCCCAAGTACTGGAATTAAAGGTGTGTGCCACCGAGGCTGGCTCCACCTTATTTTTTTAGACTACACCTGGAGTTCACTGATGGTGGGGACTGGTTGGCCAGTGAATCCCCAGGAACCACCTGTCTCAACTGCCCCCACCCAATGCTGGGGTTACAGAAGCCCACTTCTACATTCGGTTTTTATGTGGGTACTAGGGATCTGAACTCAGGACCTCATGTTTGTGCAGCAAGCACTTTACCCACTGAGTCACCTCCCCAGCCATCTCTAATTTTTGAGACAAGGTGTTGCTATGTCACCCAGGCTGGTCTTGGCTTTTGCTCCTTCTTGATCTTTCCAGTTCTGCCACAGTGTTCTGAGTGTTCCCAGTACAACAGGTTAAAAATGGTATTCCCATGGGGGCTGGAGAGATGTCTCAGCAGTTAAGAGCACTGGCTCTTACAGTTACACGGTGGCTACCAGCCATCTGTAACTCCAGTTCTAGGGGACCCAACACCCTCTTCTGCCCTCTGGGGGCTTTGGATGAAATGGGTACCCTTACATACATTCAGGCAGAACATTCATACACATAAAATAAAAATTAAAACAAAATTTTAAATGGTATTCCAGAACCTTTGGTATAATTTCATACTGATTTCTTTATAACCGCAGTGTGTTGATTGGTTAGCTCACTTTCTGTCTGCTTGTCTCCATTAGCCCTTTTCTCACTAGGTTGAACTCTCTGACTCTGGGGTAATTAATGTTCTACCCTGATCAGGGTTACTTTAAAAGAAACCATCTGGCTTACATAGACTAAAATATTTACTATTTGGACCCCATCAAGTTTGGTTGATTCTAGTGTCTAACTGATTTACAAGTGCTGTTTATATATTAAGAAATTTTTCTTATTATCTTCTCTGTTTTGCATTTAATTCTTCACTTTCTTTGGCCTCCTACCCTCAAAATAATCCAGGCAGAAGGGAAACTTCAAGGCAGAAGCCCTGTGATGTGCTTGATACATCTGAAAGCACTGTGGTCTGTGTTCATTTAGGAAAGTATTTTAAAATTATTTTATTTTGTTTCATCTTTCCATTTGAGACAGGGTCTCACTAAGTTGCCCAGGCTGGCCTTGAACTCACTCTGTAGCCCTGATTGGATTTGAACTTGGGATTCTCTTGTCTCAGCTTCCTGGATAGCTGACAGGCCTGGACCACCAAGCCCAGTTGGGGAAGATTTTTGGTTTGTTTTTGCTTCTTTTAATGTATCTGGAATCCAGAGACCAAGACCAAATTAAGCACTTTGCTGAGCCCCCACCCCCCGACTAACTGAGTCTCCCCTGATTCCCTTATACTCCTGGACCAGGATGGTATATATATATTTTTAACCTGTTTTATACATGAGGCTTTGCTGAAGTCCTGGCAGGTGGTAGAGCTGGGAAAATCACCGCACTGCCTGGCTCCAAGTCTCTAGGTCTTTCCAGTAAAGCATCTTGCTTCCTAAAACTGAGGTCTGTACCAGCAGCCATGGTGCCCAGAGAATGCAAAAGTCCCGGCAGGCATTGGCTTGAGTCCCTCTAAGTGTGTGCGGGATGTGGGGCAGAGCATGGGGTGGTCTACCTCCTAATCTCTGTGTATTCTTAGGTGAGAGAGGGCGGGGGGGGAGTGATATTCCAACACAAAAACCACACAGACGTGAGCGGACGGAGCTTACACACCTCTCTGTTGCTCAAAGCCTATCAGGAGCATAGTCCAGTTAGGAATGGGTGTGAGGACCATAACACTGTGCTGGAACAGATGTGGTGGGGTGGGGGTGGAGGGTGGGGCTAGAAGCAGGAAAAGGGAGTGACTGCCAGGCAGCTGGATCAGGTGGTGAACTTTTATTATGTCTGGCACTGGGCCACAGCCACCCATTACACAAATCTGACAGTGACCATTACAGTCTCTGAGCCCTTGAACAAATCACAGCCTGAAAGGTAACCTGTCTGAAAATAGTCACCCCATTAAAACCATTGGGCCAGAGAGCAGGGTCCCCAGAGGAGAATGTGGGGGTACACATGGGCATGTTCTTCATATTGGTGTGTAAGAGTGGGCCTGGACAAAGGGGGTGGCACCGGCAATCTGCTCCTTGTAATTTCTCTTTAGGGCTGGGGCATGTCTCAGTGGTAGAGCACCTGCCTAGAATCCCCCAGTTGAGATGTGGCTCATGGGTTGACAGTCACCTCAGACACAGACCCACAGTTTTATGAAGTCTCTTGTGGGTGAAGGAAAGCTGCTCAGGAAAGAGGAAGCCCAGGCATCGCCCTGCAGACCCAGCCTGGGATTCTCACTGACCCCTGGGGCCCAGCTCCCTCCTGCACTCCACACTGAGTTCTTGCACACTGTCAGCAAGATAGAATCATCTTGAGGTAAGGGACCCTGTATCTCACAGTCTTTCTGTGTGGTCCCCAGGTGTTAAGCACTGAGCCACCCAGGAGGGACACTGATGGACTGTTTGACTCAAACAAAAGCATTGTCATCCTTAGGGGAACTTTGTCCATGTCTCACTGTGTAGCCCAGGCTGGCCTGGGACTCTCAGTCCTCCTGCCTCAGCCTCTTCAGTGCTGGGATTACAGGTGTGAACTGCTACACACCTGTGGACGGACACACACCTGGCAACATTTCGATTCTCAGACCCTGTGTATTTTGTTACATTTCTTTAAAATTTTTTTTATCATTATTATCATTTGTGTGTGTGTGTGTGTATGTGTGTACATGAGTGTGTTGCCTGCATGTGTGAAAGTGCATTCATGTCATGCAGTGCCCATGGAGATCAGAAGAGGGTGTGGGACTCCCCTGGAACTGGGGTTATTGACAATTGTTAGCTGTCATGTGGGTGCTGGTGACCGAACCTGGGTCCTCTGCAAGCGTAGACAGTGCCCTTAATGGCTGAGTCATCTCATCAGCCCGTTTTTCCTTTTCAGTCACACTAAGAATTGTTCACCTGTAGGCACAGGGAGTGGTGAGGCATCAGCCTGCCTTGGTGATCCTGAGGGTAAAAAATCCTGCGCAGGTGCAGACGCCACCCCTGAGATGCTATAAGGCTGAGGGCCGGTGGCTTTGCGCCCAGAGCACCAGGCTGGCCAAGTGGATGGAAGGATCCCTTCAAAGGTAACTTGTGGGTGGAGACAGCTCCATTTCAGGGAAGGCTCAGGGCTGGCGAATTGCAGCTAAATTCCTGTCTGTGTACTAACACTGCGCAGGATTTCCGGCACACATTAAGTATGCGTAGGTAGGCACTAAATAAATGTTGAGTGAGGAGACGCCCTCTCCCCCTTCCTAATAGGTTGGTAACCTTAAACTTTCCAGAAAAGTCATAAATGTCACAAGAAATTTGTTTTTTCAAAGAACAAATCAAACTGGCGGGTCAAACGGCGGACAGTTTGACTCAGGTGAGCTGGTGGCCCTCGGCTGAGATGGACAGGAAGTGCTCAGTTTGAACAGCGATCCTGGTCTCGCAGCCTCGGCTCCCCCACGGCTCTCTCCTACTGTGTTCAGAGCTCTCAAGGGGCAGAAAAGCTCTTCCCGGCCACCAGACTTGGGGAGGTGACTTTAAACTGCAGGCCACTAGCCCCCCAATACGGACTCTGTGGGAGGGCTCTTGTCTGCCCTGGGCACCCCTCTTTTTGGAGCACGGTCCACCTTCTCGAGAGCCTCTAGGTTAGGCAGGGCTGCGGGCTGCAAACTTCCGGATTCTCAGGTGTGGGCAAGCTCTCCCCTTCCCTGGTGGGGGGCAGGTGCGCCGAGGCGGGGGCCCTACTAGCTTGGGCCTTCAGGCTCCCCAGTTATGCACCACCTCTCGGAGGAGCACAGGAGACTGAGCCAGGGACATGTTCGCAGTTAGAGACCCAGGAGTTTCAGGGTGAGGTTCAAAATGTCAGGGAGGGCCAGGGGGAGAGACAGAGGTGGTGGTGGTGGTGGTGGTGGTGGTGGCGGGGGGGGGCGGATGGCAGAGGAGGACGCCCTGGTACACAGGCCGTGGAACTTCTTCCATCCCTCCTCCTTACCCTCATCTTCACCTGGCGCCACTGCCACTGAAGCCCTCCATCCCCTCCCCCCAGCAACACCGCTCCACGTCCCCTCAAGTCAGGCGTCCCCAGCCCCCCTGCACCCACCTAGGGCGCTCATGCTCCGCAGGCTCTGGGCGCCTCCTCCACGCAGGCCTCCGGCTTTCCCCAGCGCTGGGCTCTGGTCCGCAAGCAAACATGCACTTGTCTGAGACTGCCACCCTCCCAAGGCCAGGGACACCCACCAGGGACTGGGGGTGTGTTGCGGGGGCGGGGGGTGGCCTACCCTGGGCCAGGAGTCCCAAGTTCCGAGAGCGCAAAGGGAGGAAAAAAAAAAAAAAAGCAGAGAAAGTGTGTCATTGGCTGGGAGGGGCGGGGGAGAGAAATGCAAAACGCGGCAGGAAATGAGACTAAAAAAAATTACAGAAGGTTAGAAAGATAAGGAGGGGGAGGGGCAGAGTTTGAATCCAAGGCTTAGAAGGAAGGTCTTGATGAGGTCCCCTGCTTGGGGACCCTGAAGGGCCTGGGTGCTGAGACCAAGCTAGCCAGGCCATTTTGTCTAGGCGGGGCATGGCTGGGCCCACCCTAGGCTGTCATTCCCTGGGTCTCAGTGTGGCCTTGGAAGGAGCGCCCCTTTTTCTTGATTTTCTGGGGTGGTTGGAATGGGGTCTTGAATTTCTTCATTGAAAACGGCGATGTGGAGGAGAGCCGCTTTTCTGATGCACGTGGCACGGAACCACGGGAGACACAAGTTTGCTCCTGGGAAAGTCTACTCAGAGTGGAACCAGGAACCACAAAATAAAAACGGAGCCAGCTCCGCAGCATTGCACGACACGGGTGCACTCACATACATGCAGGCAATACACTCATACACATAAAATAAAAATAGTAAAGAAAATA